GATTTTAACATGCTTTTGCACATATAACCAGAAAAATGGATCATGTACAAAATGTTAGATAAAACCTTATTATTCTGACGCCGCGTCATACATTCACACTTGACCTTTTTCTATCCATTCAGGCATCGTGTTAAAAAAGACATTTTCTTCATCTCCCGGACCTCAAAACGGAGTTTTCATCGAAATCTAGGCCACGAATGTTTTTTATCCGAATCCAATACTTTTTCCCTTCTAGACGATACGTGAAGCCGAGAGAAAGTAATAAAGTTTGTTCCAAATTCTCTAGCCTAAGAAGCAGTGACCAATATGAATGCGAGCTTTAGGGCGCGTTCTGCAGAGAAGTCGCAATATAACGTCTTTCTCTGTTTCTTCTTTCTTTTTCGACATCTACTACGCTACTCAAGCAGAGACAACAAACTCTACGTGCTTGCTGTACGGACGGCACCGACTTCAAAGACGCAGCGGCGGCTTGCTGCACCGCGCAGTGGGAGATTTCTTGGGCTATGGAGCATACACCCAAGAGAGCTCATAAGCATCGTGGAGTTCGGTGAGGAAGAGAAAAAGTGGATTCGGGATGTAATGGGTAATATCCGAGGGATTTACAAACTGCTACTTTTATTCAAGGAAGCTGCAGTGTCAATTGTCGTTTATAGCAGGCTGTTGCAACTCAACTGCCTGCGGGCGAGCTCGTGGGCAATTGCGAGCTGAGGGGCGAACGGAAAGCCTTGTGTGGAATTAAAGTAATATTAATAACAACGATATAATAATAAGACAGAAATATAGTAATTAGGTCGAAATACAGTTGCTTCTGTTGCCGAGAAGAAGCGAAAATATTGAGGCCTTGGCTATTAAACTGAGCGACATGTGGTGGTTAGTATCTGTTGAAGTAGTGCCTGTGGTCGTCTCTGCAGATGGGCTGATATCTGAAGAACTAATTTTATCGTCTGCAAGACTTGGCTGTACTGGCACATTCAATGCAAAAGGCTATTATCCTGAGTACTACACGAATCGTCAGGAAGTTTTAATTATTATAACTACGTTGAGCCCTGACCGCCCGAGTTTGCAAGCAAAGCAGGTACCTTGGTTCTACAAAGGTCCCGGTGTCTGCTGTAGGCACCTCGCTAAACGACTTGAAAGAAATAATAATAATAATAATAATAATAATAATAATAATAATAATAATAATAATAATAAAACCGGAATCAGCGCCATCTCATTCTTCAGAAAAACTAGTATGTCATTTTGTAAATTTTATTTAACTCAGGAAGACTGCGTTCATGAGATACAAAACACATATTGAAAAAACTTAAAAACTTGGACGCTACTTAAAAACACTAATTTTAAGTACTAACGGTCCTCAAATCTCGCAAACCTGGCTTCCGCACTACCTTGAGTAATTTTCAACGCTCTTTCCAGACCTTACGCTGAAGGCAGAGAAAACTTCTGTGAGTAGCGTGCTTTCGTTTCACTCGTATGAAAGTTTGTGCGAGAGACATGCACAAGTAACACGACCCTCTTTTTGTTGACAAAAGTTATAAAATTTATTAAAATTCTAAAATAAAATAACTGAAATACTTTTTTAAATCATTTAATTTGTAAATTCTGTATTAGACATAATATCTGGCAAAGCTATAAATATAATGGACATCCGTTAAAATTAACGTTTCAATTAGTTGAACAAAATATCGACCGGGTCGTTAAGATTGATTGTAGGACCATAGCTGCCTCAGCACGAAGGTTCTCGGTTTCGAATTCCGCCTCAGGCATGGATGTTTGTGTGTGTTTGTGTGTGTGTGTTTGTGTGTGTGTTTGTGTGTGTGTGTTTGTGTGTGTGTGTGTGTGTGTGTGTTTGTGTGTGTGTTTGTGTGTGTGTTTGTTTGTGTGTTTGTTTGTGTGTGTGTTTGTGTGTGTGTTTGTGTGTGTGTTTGTGTGTGTGTGTGTGTTTGTTTGTTTGTTTCTGTTGCCCTTGCATGTTCCCCCAAAAGTTCCCTCTGGAGTGTAAAAATGACAGTGGTCTCAATAATACCATCATGTGACCCAAAAGTGACCTTGAAATAAAAAAAAACATCAATCATTGCATGGTTTCTTACTATCTATGATAGACATAGAACATTCAATTTCATTTTTCGATAATGTAAACTTATATAATCTTATTTGTAAAACTAATATTCGAATAATACTTTCCGATAAATATGGAACTTATAGTACTAGGAAGAATAATATTAACAAACCATTTTCGGGGTATTTTAGCTGCTAGGAAAATTAACGCACATTAAACGGAATAATATTGTCGTAAATCAAACAAAATGAACTGTGAAAATGAGAACTTCAGTGAAATGAACGATACTTTACAACAAACTACAAACATCGAAATTGTTTAGCCCACCTTCCAGAGTAAATAATAGATTATTTTTCACATCCATCACGTACTAATTTCAAGTTTCTGAAATAATAGTAGATTTTTTTCAAAATATTTATCTTCTCTTCGCGAGTGTTCGGCCAGTATCCATTAGTAACTAGGCGATGTTTGGAATGTTGGAGGAAGGAATTGTTGAAACCCAAGAGAGTACAGTTAAGATATAGTCGCGCTACGCTGCTGGAAAATATATATCTTCATCTATACATCTGCCTGCAAAAATATATAGTATTTTTCTAAATCATTTTTGTTCGAGGGAAATTCAATATACTTACAAAATAACGATAGCTTCACATCATATCGTGCCAAGTGCGAGAATTTGTCGCGAGAGATGGTTAGAATGAATTAACGCTCGTGATACATACGAGATTTTATTTTTTTGAGTACTTTTAATGATTCAGATTTACTTATTTACTAATAAACTAGATGTTAACTTTACTTATTTTTTTTATATTTTCCTCGCACAATTTCTTTCCATAATCCCCTCTCATAAATTCCTCCTTAAGAGAACGTGTACCAAAATTAACCTGTTTCCATATTTCCCTCGTTACCACGGTCCTCTCTATAAAGTAAATAATCGATACCTGTCGAAGGCAATAAAAAGCAATAACGAATCAGTAAAAAATAAATTATTTTTTTCGGTCTCCGAAATCTTCAGTGCAGGGGCAGGGGAGAGGGCGGAGACGAGCGGCAAGCGCATTGTAACAAGGCCATGGCGGTGTTGGCAGCGCTAAAGCACGCGCCGATAAAGTCTTTCTCATGGCAAAACGACAACCTTTTAGTGTTCGGCGCTGTTATTGGTATCAGATTAGCATTTTTAAAAGGTAGTATCTATTGAACGCGGTCTGCGTGAGTAGTAAACTATTGAAAATGTCATAGTTATTTTTCTGAAGAATGCAATGGTGTGAATTTCGAATTAAAAAAAGAAAGTGTACATGTTACTCTGTGTTTGTAAGCCATCAGTCCGCAAGATGGCGTGTAATATGTTACTGATAGATGAAGCAGGGAGCAGTTAGGTTTAGGAAGGCGCTGCCAAACCGGTGCTCAGAAAGAAAACTAGGTTTAGTAGTAAATTTTGACCTCAAGTCAAGATTTTATTAATATAAGACTACACATTTTTCTTAAGGAGAGAAGATAAATCTGGCCTCGGTCTGTTGAAATGCATAGAACGCTCTTCGATGTATGGAAGTTAGATTCTCTCTATTTAATTCTTTTCTCGTATACGAATTTATATAAGCAGAAACACGCGGAGGAATATACGAATTACAGAGAAAAATGAACTAGTTTTATTTCAGATTTGTGCAATTTTAAAAACTAACAAAAACAAAATTTTGTTAAAAACGGATCCAAATTTTTCTTTAAACTTTCGGTAGAGATAGTGCTAAATGTACCCTATGAAAGGAAATAACCGCCATATTGCTCTATGTTTAAAAAAACACAAAAATGTAATGTTTGACTTGTCTCTCACGTTGTTAATATTTACATTAGCGGCAGTTTGTTCACAATATTCTATTTACAAGCACATGCGCTTTAAATAATGTTATGTAAATTTTCTCGAAAACTCAAAACTTTTTTGTGAAAACGAACTTAAATTTCTGTATTTTCAGAAACGATCAATTATTATTTTCTCAAAAACCTTGGGAACTTTTTTCCACAAACTTTTCGTGCATATAGTTATAATTGCATTTTTGAGATGACATAGGATTCATTTTGGTTTATAATTTAGTTTTTTTCAAAAATTACACAAATGTAAGTTTTTTAATATGTCCCACTCCGAGCAATTTATAAACACTATTGCATTTGTGGATAGAACTGTTGCAAATGGCTTTCAATAAAGTTTTTCAAAAACCAAAATATTTTGTGTGAAAAGAGGTTGAAATTTCATGTTTACAGTAATTCTTAAATGCTATTTCTTTAAAAATTACTCCAAATGTTTCAATGAAATTTACCATTTCTGACGATGTTTTACCTTTCCTTATATTATTAAAGTAACATTTTGATTCCATCCTAGGCAAACCAAAAAATTGAGAATATAAAAAAAGCGGCGATAAAGTGCTTTAGTCAGCTGGAAAAAATATATGGTAAGACAGAAACGCTAGGCCGGACAAAAAAAATAGAAATGTCACTATTGCAAGAAAGTCTGTGCCATTCTGTGTCACAATTAGCTTTATTCCTCGTTTCATAACGTCATTATTTTAACATGCATTATATTAATAATCTAAATTTGCGAATCCAGTGACAAACTGATATGAATACTATGAAATCCTAAAAACTGATAAAATATTTGGATTGTTGATATATTTACGTATCTCTTGACACTAGTCGTGTAATGCTGCACGATTGATGGAAATGAAATCATTTAAAGTGAATATGAAAGTCGCCATTAGCCGACAGCGCTTCTCGCTGTAAAACGACTATGCAGATTTTTACTACAAATTACATATTTTTTGTTTTAGAGCAGAACTAGGATCATTTGTGTAATTAATAATACCAAGAAGAGGAAGGGCACGATTCATGCGCTCTGCATTTTCATTGGCTCTTGAAAATTTCCCCTCCAGCAGGTAGTCAAACGGTCTGCTGTGCCATTTTTTCTTTGAACGTGAACGGGTGTAGTTGATTTCGAATGGTAGATTGTGCGTCTAGTATTGAGTGTAGCTAGTGCAATTTGTGTTATTGGAACTTTTCGTTGATTGCGATGTGACATTTTGGACAGTGTATTAAGAGGAACATTCCACATCACGTGATGAAAGCTACGCCAACAGATGACATACTACAAATGGTTGGTAAGTGAGATCGCATGATTTCCTTGTAGAATTTCATAACATTATTGTCTACTAAGGTGAAATAGTGTTCTTAGGAATTATTATTTTGTTTGTCTGATGAGAAATAGAAGTGTGCGTTGCTATATTAAAACTTTTATTTATATTACCTTACTATGATCTTTTAACTACATATTCCGTATTTATTGCTTTTAGAGCAGAACTCGAAGCATTTTTGTAGTTAATACCAAAAATTCAATGTTCAAATTTAATATTGCACTGAAAATATTCATTGAATACTGTGTTAATAACTACTTATTTCGGTTTTCTTAATAACGGTAATAATTTTATCTAAACACTAGTGTAATAAAGGTCATATAAGTTTTTCCACCTAATACTTTCCCCAAAATATTTTCAAATCTGATGCAGATATTAAAATTCAGTTTTCACTAAAATAAAGGTATAAATATTTACGGGGCTGATAATATGTTACATAGCCGTATTTATTGCAGAGATATGGTTGCAATTTCAATTATTTTATATAGAGCCCTAAATCTTTAGTGCAGGATAACCATCTAGATGCTACAAGTTTATAAATATTCAAATTATCTTACGTTTCACTGCAAAATGTTTGAGAATTGTAGTTTTCGCGTGAAAACCGTAGTGCCACATTGCAAGGTTACTGCATTCCGTTGCGTCGGCCCCGAGGAGCGAAACAGAAAGGCACGAGGCACGACGGGTTGTAGAATGAGTTTCTACTGGATGTTCTTTCTCGCATTTGTATCAGTTATATAACACACCTTGATCCCGCAAAAATGCTTCCAACCCGCAAAAAGGTTTTGTTTATGCTGGAATTCGAACTAAGGTTTTGTAAGCATTTCACTTATCCGTTTTATCACACGCCTGAGTTGTCAAACAAAGTGTAAAAAATTCAAGTGTATCCGAGTGTAAAAAATTCAACTTTCCTGGATGATCCTCCGAATGTAATTGTCAATGTTTTTGTTAAAAATGTTTGTAATGTAATAATAGCCAATCAAGGAAAATAAACAATTAAAAAAGAGAAGTTGCACATCGGTAATTTTAGGACAGTCAGTTAAATCGTTCATTCACTAACATTCGGAGCTAACGGTTTAATTTTGAAAAACCGATTTTATGAAGAAAGAATTATCTCGTACAATACTACAGATATGACCTGGCGACGGTAGTGGTATGGATACCACATTGAACGCGGAAACCAATATGCTCAAGTTCAGATGCAAGATCGTAAAAACAGTCTTGTGTGATGAAAACTCAGAATGTTTAGATTGGGTCAATGAGCGTATTTCTAAGTCACGTAAGCCATCGCAGGGCAATACAATGTGTCTCATTGTGTTTAAATGCGCGAAATTTTCGCACGAGTTAAACTAGTCACCCCAATAACTTCTGAACCGTTCAATATTGAAATGCGAATTTTGCCCAGTCATACTGAATCATGAGCCAAATAATACTCCGTAGTCCTATTGTACGTAATATTTTTAATTTCGTAGGAATGGAAACATCATTATTTTTAAACATTATATATATATATATATATATATATATATATATATATATATATATTCCTATGCAATGGAAGGTCCATAAAAAGAACAATTCAATATTATATCATTTGATAAAGTTGACTAAAAAATATTATGTAAAAAGAAGGAATTTTTGAAGACAATTCAAAATTATATACTGCAATTGCAATTCCATGCGTCGTCGCGCAGTATTCTTCGCAATGAGGACACATGACCTTGTCATTCTTTGGCGGTCGCGGACTGGAAGGGCTAGGTGGGGCGGTGGAGAATTATTGGGCAGGAACAGCATAAAAACACACAATGTTACTGATCAAAATGAGATAAAAATTGTCTTCCTTTTCCCAGCTTTCATTTATTTACAAAAGTTACATTTTATTTATATTCAATATTTTGTTCATTTATTTTCTTACTTAAAAGTACAATAATTGCTTTAAAGTCTTACGTTGATGGAGAATTATGCCTGTTATAAAAGCTGTCCACCTGTAAGAGACGTGTACGTGCCGTACAATAAAAACAGGGACTTGAACCATTTTACCGCTTTGACGGTTTTTACGACAGGGGATGTTGCATTCTATCAGTAGTTATTGGTACTTAAACTTTGCGAATGCGGACCCAGGAACGGAGCCGCCGTTATACATGATAATGCTGGTGGGATTTCAATCTTCGTTTATTTCGTAATTTTCTACAAATAAGGAATATTTTGTTTGTTCCGCTTGGTGCATTTAAAATAAGGGAAGCGTTGGTTTCAACACTTTCCAGTATCTGTTCACAAGTTTTTCTTTTGCTTGAGATTTAAATTTGGCTCTTATTTTCTATTACCTAGTCAGTTTGAACTGAAGTGTAGTTTAATTCACCAAATAGTTATTTATTCAAATCACTGTTATAAACAGAAATCCGTTGCTTGTTTTACCCCTTAATAAAAAATACACATCTTCCAGTAGATTTACAGCACGGTTATTTATTTCGGTCAAACGAATATTTAATTAATTCTAGATTTTCTCAGGATTTTAAGGGATTGTACTCGTAGAAACACATGACGAAAAGCTGCTTTAGTTTAGACGCATTAGAACTCTCGCTCATTTTGTCACAGTTTCATGTTGCAATGTTTCAGCGATTGTCATTTTACAATTAACCCAGGAGTATGCGAGCACTACGGTTAAGTTTGAAGCATAACAACCACCACCACCACCACCACCACCACCACAACCACCACCACCACAACCACCACCACCACCTCCACCACCACCACCATAGTTTTGAGGCCCTGAAATTACGTTGGTCTCTTCGTAAGTTACGGCTTCGTTCTTACTTAAGATTCTTCTGAAGAAATCAGAAGAACAAAGAAAAAAATACCATCAAATTTTATTTCGAAGTTTTTTCCTGTTTATTTTTTACATCCTTAACGTTTCATAAATTCTTTATCAATGTTTTATGTGAACATGTCGATACTTTAGCGATGGAAATCTATCGTGAATAGAGTGAGATAGAATTCTCCAAACAGCTTCTGAAGTACTCGTGTTGCTGTCACTTTGAAGAGTAGTAATCTTATTTATTTATTTATTCAACCCTTTACAAAAATGAACACATAGTATAATGATATAAAAATAACTAGACAATACAAAAGATAAAACAATTGTCATAATATACATTAAGTAAAATTATCTATCGTGGGTCAGAAAGAGACAAGACTTTTTTCAAGCGAGCTTTAAACCATATTGAGATAGACTCAAGAGTCTATAATGTTACAAAAATCGATCGCAAGTTTACAGTTTCTGTTAATGATATTGTTTGTGTCGTATTTGGATCTATAAAATTTAATGCTAAACAATATTTGATTTCTGGTAAATCTCTTCGGAGTACAGAATAAAACATTAGATAATATTTCACTACAATGAAAATGGTTGTTAATGACATTGTACAAAAATAACAAGTCATTATAGTCTCTTCTGTAGAATAGTGAAGGAATATCGAATATGTCGCGGACCCGAGCATAGTCGTCGTAGGACCTAGACATGGCGGTGTTGTTTATATGCGCAATCTGAGGACGGAATGTGTTCGAACCTCTCTCAATAGTATCAATATAAAATTGTATACAAGGGGACCAGATCACGGACACTATTCCAAAAGAGGTCTAATGAAGTAAAAATACAAGATCTTGAAGGTTCTAATGTCGTTAAAGTCACGAATGTTTCTCATAATGAAACTCATAGTTCTCATTGCATTGTTCGCGGTCGCCGAATCATGTAATTAAAATTTCAGTTTGATGTCAAATACTACTTCAAGATCTTTGGTGATATCTACAGTTGTCAACAGACAATCGTTCAAGAAATACTGATAACGTATAGGATTCCTAAGACAAGAAAAAACTATGGTAAAAATTAGCTGTGTGTAGTTGCATCACATTAGTAGTGCACCAAAGATTCATGTTATCGAAAACGTGCTGCAAATGCCGAGCATTTGAAATCCTGAACTTGACATCCTTTTTATTCACATCTGAAATCCTGGACTATATCTTGATGTCAGCAGCATATAATAAGGCATGACTATGGGAAAAGACAGATAGTAAGCCATTATAAATATAATGAAGAGAATAGGAACCAAATGAGAACGCTGAGGGACCCTTGATACCACAGGACGAAAACCATTTATAGACACATACTGTATTCTACCCGTCAAATAAAAACGTATCCAGGACTGAAAAAGTTTTTCTATGCCATCCTGGACAATCTGCGAGTGAAAATGGTTTGATTAACTCTGTCGAAGGCTTCAGTAAAGTCAATATAAATTGCGTCAACTTGGTACCCATCCTCAAATAAACCGGCGATAGAGCTTCTAAAAACTGTCAAGTTTGTAATAGTTGTTCTGTGGCTCCTAAACCCATGCTGACTTTCAGAAAACAAATTCTTGAAATTCAGCATGAAGAATTTAGTTCCCAGCTTTTCAAACAATTTTGTGATAGCACTGAGGATAGGGATTGGACGGTAATTCGCAATGTCTAATTTGTTGCCCTTTTTATGGATGGGGAATCAGTCTACTTGATTTCCACGACGTAGGACCAGAGCACAAAGATGGATTGAAAATTATTCCAAAGCTGTCGTGAAAGTGAATATTTACATTCATGTAAGATGTTCGATATTAGGTATAATGTTTTGTATTTTGAAATATATATTCATACGTATTTAATTTCACGGTACAGCGTAGTTCGATGTTAATACGAGTCTGAAACTTTCGTGACGATATCAGAGAATATTGTAATGCGACAAAAATGATTTAAGGATTTCAGTAATTATCTGTAAATAATTATTTTGTTTTTTTAGTACAATATATATTTTGTCACATTGATCAACCACTAAGACAACAGGCGCTTCATTTTATTGCCAGGTTCATTATGACACTGATTGCTTTCAAACTGTGGATTTTGATAGCCTTAATACCGATTTTGTAGTAACTATTGAAACATTTTTA